TGGGGGCAGGGCAGAGCCGTGTTAGAGGAAGTCAGGCATGCAGACTCTGTGTGTGTGTGTGTGTGTGTGTGTTTTTATAGTTTATGGTTTTCAGCTGTTATCTCAGAGTTAAAATGAGTCTAAGCAATCTTAGTCCACCATCCAAACTCATATACACACTCTTTGTGTGTTAGTGTGTGTGAAGATATAAAAGTTGTATTATATAAACACAGGATGTCAGCCTGCAGTGTGTTTGTGTTACAGATGGGTTACAGTCAGCTGATGCAGAGCCTGTGTGTTAGTGTCTGATCAGAGGCAACATACGACATAAACAACATAACATGTGTCTTTGCATCATAACTATGTCAACATCATAACTTCATGTCTACATTATAACTACAACATATCTACATCATAACTACATGTCAACAACATATCTACATCATTCCATCTACGAAACATCAACTGTCTCCGCCCCTCCCTCACCCCCCATACTGCCTCCATCCTTGTCCACAGCCTCGTCACCTCCGTATTGATTATTGTAATTCTCTTCTCTTCGGCCTCCCTCATAAGTCCCTCCATAAGCTCCAACTGGTTCAAAACTCTGCTGTCCGTATTGTCACCAAAACCCCCTCATACCATCACATCATCCCCATCCTACAGCAGCTCCCCTGGCTCCCGGTGAAGCAAAGAATCATTTTCAAACTCCTCCTGTACACCTTCAAGGCCATCCACAACCTCGCCCCTCCATATCTGTGTGACCTCCTTCACATCACCACTCCAGCCCGCTCCCTCAGATCCTCCTCCTCCATCCATCTCACCGTGCCCTCTGCCCGCCTCAGCACCACGGGGGGGCAGAGCTTTCAGGTGCTCTGCTCCCCAGCTCTGCAACTCTCTGCCACCTGACATACGCAACATTGACTCCCATCTTCAAATCCAGACTCAAAACCCATCTGTTCAAGATCTCCTACTCACTCTAACATTTGAACTGTAATTACACTGTCCTACATTTCATTTCTTTTATTGTATGCTGATTTTATCCATTGTTGTTTTTTAAATGTTGACTGTTGTACAGTGTCCTTGTGTGCCCAGAAAGGCGCTTATAAATTAAATTTATAAATAAATAAATGTATTATCATACAGCATGTCAACAACATATCTACCTTATAACTACATGTCCACATCATACAGCTACAAAATGTGTACAACATGTCTATCTACAACATAAATAACATCTCTACAACATGTCTACATGATAACTGCAACATGACAACAACACATCTACAGCTTTTTGTGTCTCACTCTGAAGCCCTCAGGGTCCACCTGGTCAACACAAGCCCCCAGGATGTGCATCACGTGATGCCACTGGGCTCAAAATACTTTTTCCCGTAAGCTTACATTGGGAAAGAGTCGTCTATAAACCAGCTGATGGATTTTTCTTAGGTACATACATTTTTCCAATATGAACATGTAGATAACCCCTTTTAAATCATTAGGTAGTAAAAGTTGTAAAAGGCAATTAAAGCCAAATTCAGATATAAGTGCACATGCTTTATTGGCCCAGTAACATGGAAGATCCAGGTACTTTTATACGTAGACGTGGGACTTCTTTTGCTTCATGCCACTGAGCAACTTTCATAGGAATGAACAGGGGTCCGCCTTTAACGCTGTATCCATTATATAATACATCGATGGTAAGTTACATACACGTGTACACACACATGTACATGCAAACACTGGTCTGATGAGGAGTTGGAGTCCTCTCTCAGCCTGGTCCTCAGAGTCTCATAGAGGAACACATACAGATGGTATCAGCTTCCTGTGCCTCTCGGAAAGGCTTCCTGTTCTTTATGTTAGTGCGGGTGTCGGCAACGCGGCTCTGGAGCCGCATGCGTCTCTTTTGCCCCTCTCCAGTGGCTCCCTGTAACTTTGCCAAAAAAGAAAAGAAAATATTTTTTTCTTTATTTTTGATTTATATTAATTATTGTTGTTCCAAAACGTCCTACATTCTCTAGCTGTGGAAAATGCTCTGCCCTGCATTGTATTATTATGCTACTTTTAGCCTTTTATTCTTTTATTCTAATATTTCCTCCACGCAAATGTTGTTTATGCCCTGCCTACACCGGTGTTGCGCGCAATGGCTCCTTTCACTTTTGCTCTGCGCCCTTCTCCGCGGCGAGCTCAGCGCGCACTGCGCCTTATCTGAAGGACCCTTTGCCTGTGTGCAAACCGTAATTTGAAAAACAACAAACAGTAATGTTAAGAGATATTTGTATTTGAAATGCAAAGCCGTTCACAGACCGGGAGATCTCAGACCTCAAACACAAAACGAAGATCATCACTCACTTCAGAAAAAGTTGTACACAGATCTGGAGGGTACTGTTTTAAACCAAGTTTTTAATGTAGCCCCTTATATGATGTGAAATGTGAGCATAGGATTGTCAACATCCCTGCTCTGCTACGCTCTCATTCAGCGCCCCCTCTCTCTCTGTTGCTTGATCAATCACACACTCCGCTCTGTCCGACCCTGTTAACAGCAGTTGAGGTGACAGAGTGCTCAGGTACAGGAGATGCTCTTACTATCAATAAAAGAGAGAGTAAGAAGCCTCGTGGTTTATGCGCCATTCTTACAAGTGCCCAAACAAAAAATAAATAATGTCATTCTTAATTATCAGCTTAACATATAGGCTACTTGTTTTTGAATTAAGTGGTTTATTAATTAATGTCTTGTAAAAGACGGGCAGATTATATAAGACTACTCGTCTTTCTGCTCCTTTTCATTCAGGATTTGAGATTTTATGTTTATTTAATTGGAACAACTGACATGTTTATTAAAGTATTCAATGAATACATTCATTATTGTGTGTGTATAAGACGCAAACAGGACAAAAAGACTCTCAGAAGAATCATACAGTTCTGCAGAAAAAACACAAATTGGTGTATCAAAACTGAGCAGAATGCAGGAAAAGGGTGGGCTGTGGGCAAATATGGCTCTTTTGATGGAAAAGGTTGCCTGTGTTAGTGCATTGCGTGCACACACATGTACACACACGCCCCTGCAGGGCCACCATCCTCTGTGATCAGAGACCTGCTGCTGAGTGACAGCAGACAGAATCGACCTGCTGTGACACGTGTGTGTTTGTAGCTTTTTAGAGTGTGTGTGTGATCAATCTGGCCACTTTCAGCTCCAGATCAATATTTCCGCCACTTTTCGTATTACTATATTTGGAGTTGAGGGTAGCGCTTCAATGGAGGGAGGAGTTAACAAATACTTAGTTATCAAAGCCGAACAGATTGTGCTCAAAGCTAGTTTATTGGCTGCTAATGAGCTACATACCAGCTTGTATCCCAAAGAGGGAGAGTCTGTGTATGTGAAGAAGTGATGAAGAGGAGGGTATCTATTTCTCTGATAGGCTGACACACTGACCTACTTTATCTGCGGCAGTGAGTGCGTTTGTGTGTGCACACAGTACATGTTTTATACATGAGATACTCTGTTACTGCTGAACGTTGCACAAACCTGACTTGTGTCTGCAGCAGTGTGTTTTTTGAATATCAGAATTTAAAACTTTGATATTATTCCAATAAAATCAAACATTATCGATGCCTGTTTGATATCACAGCAACACAAACAGAAGTCCTAGACACCCAGTAGTGGATCATTTCTGGTGATTGATTAACAAAAATTTCAGGTTTGTCTGCAGTTGATGGATTAATTCCTCGTCTACACACCTGTTTTATGAAATACAGTTTCTTTTAAATTTTGGTATTTCAATACTGTTGATCGTTGAAATAACAGATGTAACGTTTTAAAACGTGAAGATGTATGGAATATCAAGAATTTTGACAACCTAAGTTACACAGATATAGCCTGGCTTCATGGTTGTTTCATATTAATCTGCAGTCTAGCTGCAGGTGTAAATACTGAGGTGTAAACAGGAGTCAGGACCAAGATCAGGAAGACATGAAGCTGCTGGAGGGGTTTACAGAGCTCAGAGTGCAGACACACAAACACAGATACACACAGACAGACTCAAACACAGACTGTAAACTGTTTGCTAACATACATCAGTGTGATGTGTTTGACTAAGGTAACAGTATGTTGGTCTTATGTGTCCGTGCCCTTTTCTTTGTGAGACTTTTGTGTGAGCAGGTGTACACATATGAGTACAGCTTCATTATTCCACATACAGGGCTGTGTTATTATTCACAATGTTATCGTCATGGAGATATGAGCATTCACATAAACCCATGGCTACAGTCTGAGTGTATCAAATGTATTGAGACAGTATTTATTTTCTCCCTCAGCACATGCACATTTCACATGTTGGATGAGGATCATCATGATGATGCAGTCAGGGGAGGCTCTGTCTGTAAACCTCACATTGTACCAACTTTGTATTTTTCACTTGTAAAAACCTGTTTCTTTGGATTCTTTTTGGGTTAAGTGAGGATGTGTTGTAGTCTAAGTGTTGGGGTTATCATGATGGACAGAAACTGTGCTCTATAGCTCAAATTAACTCTTTAATTTGATTTATCCAGTTTCACATTATGATCATTATATTGAAAACTGTTATCCCACTTCTTACATTATTCTCATACCAATAGGCCTGATACAGACACACACTGCATACTTAACACAGTAAATCAGTTTGTGGGAGCAGTGAGACACCTGCTGGCTGATGTGAGTCACAACAGGTCAGGTTACACACACAGGAGATGGAAACACGCAATGATATCGTCTCAGCACACCTTTCAACCAATCAGTGTCTGAGATCATTCTCTTCTTTTGATAAATTAACTGATTATATTAAAGTCAATAAATGAGATGTCACTGTGCCGAGTTGAACTGGTCAGTCTGGTCCTTTTAATTGATACGCACACACCCACAAGAGGAAGTGTTTTTGTTCTCTACTTTAACCATTTCTCTCTCTCTCTCTCTCTCTCTCTCTCTCTCTCTCTCTCTCTCTCTCTCTCTCTCTCTCTCTCTCTCTCTCTCTCTCTCTCCCCTGCATCCTTAGACAGGTTAGGGCCTTACAGACCGACAGGTGGTGACAGAAACAGGCCGAAGGCTCCGGCATCATGAACATCTGACACACACACATACCTGGTGAGTTTACACATGAGATGTAGAGATGATCTTAGTGTCTTGAGTGTTTGATCGAAGGTGAAGTCTGAATGTAGAGATGGACGACGTCCTACAAATGTGAAGCCAAAATACCTCCCACAGGGCACTGCTTGTGATTTCATCAGTAATCAGAGTCTGAGTGGTTGTCTCTGTCACCTCGCCCCTTTTCTCTAACCAAACCACACTCTCTCTGTGCTGTGTGTGTACAGAGTGCCGGCCAGGTGTCGCTGCGGCTGAGGAGGAGGAGGATGATGATGATGATGATGATGATGAAGAAGCGTCTCCTGGGTTAGAGTCATCTGGTGAGGGAATGATGGACCTCCCTAATGGCCAATCAGTCATCACCACCACTGCTGTACCTGTCTCTGAGGTTAGGCCCCACCCACCCACGACACCCCCACCTTTCTGCACACGCTCAGTTCAACACAAAAGACCGAACAACACGGTTCAGTGCACGCAGTCATACACCGAATACTTTTGTGTGCAGAGAAAAGTTAGTCATGCATTGCAGTGCTCACACTCCAATCCAGGTGGCGCTAATGCTTGTATCTGTTTGCTAATGCTATTAAACAACAAAAAAAGAATAAGAAGCCTACAAGAGAGAGCTGCCTGCTTCTGTATTTCAGCTGTGTAGGGAAACTTAAGGTTCACAGAGCAGAGAAAGAAAAGAAAATAGGTGTCTGACATCTTCAACCCTCTCTGCTTTTTCAAAATAGTGGGAGAAGACATTGCAGAAGGTTACACATTTCACATTTCGAATCACTGCTGCACCTGCTGTTCACTAATAACTCTGTGACCTCACACTTCATGAATCATTAATGTGACACATCACTCCTAAAGACACATATTTTATGGTCTGTCTTATATTTTATTCTTGATTCATTTTATATTTTTGAATCATGTGATTAAAACTAATTTCTGTGTTGTTTTTTATTTAATCAGGTAGTTTCATAATGTATTATTTAGTTCTTAATAAAAACATAGAACAAACTGTCACTACAGCTCTGATTCAATAAGAGAAACAGAAATAAACAGCCAGGACTTTTTGCACAAGTCTTTGTAAGTGAGTCCAATTCAATCTCTACTCAAGTCTTTGAGAGCAGCCGCAAGTCCAAGTCATTTCTCTTATGGTTTTAATAAACAAATAATATAAAATGATAAAGTAAAAATATATCCAAAAGTGAGAATATTTCCCTTTTTAAGTAAAGGTGTAGAGGGATGACTACAGTGGATAGCGTTACTTAGGTTAATAGGAAAATACTGCTACCATTATAAGGTTTGCCATAATACCTGTAAGAGTACAACAGTACTAACAACTACTAAAATGTTATAATCTACTGTATGTGAACAAATCCCTCTAGCATCTGAAATGCACTGTATTGGTGTCATAATAAGCCAGTAAGCAGCCATTTCAACTGTGAACTGAACCGTGACCTCTGTGAACCGTGACCTTTGTGAACTGAAGGGGAAACACTGAGCCCTCATAGATCTGAGATAGTTCCAGAAACTGTTTAAATGTTTTCCTTTTAAATAACACCTCAATTCTGACCTGATTTTGTGTGTTTGTGTGTGTCTGTATGTTTGTGTGTGTGTAGAAGAGCAGCAGCTCAGAGTCTCTCAGTGAGAAAGTTTCCTCTGACCTGAAGAAAAGTTTTGATGCTGTTGTGTTCGACGTGCTGAAGGTCACACCTGAAGAGTATGCAGTAAGTACAGCCTGTTTGTGTATGATGTTGATGTTGTGCTCTTATAGAGTCTCTGATACTGAACATAATGTTGATGAATGTTTAAGGGGTCATTTCATTTTAAATCATACATCATCTTCATCATGTTTGTAAACATGTAATTATTGATTTCATGTGTGTCCTTATTGGCTCCATTTAACCAGCAGAGGGCGCTCTTAAACTTCTTTCCTCTCTGTCTCCATGGCGATACATCATCAGTATCAGCTGACAGTCCTCATCAGAGTCTGACTGTAATAAAGTGACCTCAGATCTGTTTCTACAGTAACCAATGATAAGCTGTGTAACAGTCTGTGTGACCAGTTTGTTTAATCATTGTGTGTGTGTCTCCTCAGGGTCAGATCACACTTATGGACGCTCCGGTGTTTAAAGCGATCCAGCCTGAGGTGAGCTGCTCTCAGATCTGTGAGGGGGGGGTTGTTCATGTGCATATAATAGAAAAGTCGAGTAGAAAAATGTGGACATGGTCGTGACAAGAGAAAAAGAGGCCAACTTGGGGTGCCAGTGTTGAAAATAGAGCTTGAGATAAGTCTTGTTATTGTTAGCATATGCTTTTGACAGCTCTGGCACCTGTGTGGTCTTCATTTCATGTTGCATTTCTATTGGTTACTGAAAGATGTAGGTCATCACATTGTGAGCTGATTGTCCTAAACATCAGACATGGTAAGATATTTGTCCCAGACTATTTTTGGAAGCAAGATTTATTAAATGGTGCTTAAAAGTTTTAAATCGTGCAAAAAAAAAAAGATTAGTTTGGGTGTTTTGCGCTACTAATATTTTGTCCTTTTCTGATCACAAACCTGATAAAGTCTGCCTTTACAATGTGCACACACACACACACACACACACACACACACACACACACACACACACACACACACACACAGTCAGTCTCAGAGACTCTGACCGAAAGGAAACTGGAGTTTCTAGAGGGCTCTGTGTGTGTTGCTCAGCTCTCACAAACTCATGATGGAAACACCAGCTGTAGGTGCGTGAGAGAGAGAGACCCGGCTCCCTGCCTGAAGAGGAAAATATTAAATAACCTGCGTTGTGTAATAATGTTTTTGTTGTCATTCAGCCTATTTCTGTTCTTGAAGCACCCTTTAAATGCCATTATTTCTGCTAACTACTAGCCTCTTAGCTTGTTACAAAATCTACACAGTGAAGTCCACCGGTATCACTGTGATGACATCACTACATGTCTGGAAGTCAGTAAAAGACCATGTGTCGTGAGCTGATCGTTATGGTAGACTGTAACCTGGCCCCCTGCCTCATCACGTCTGAGTCACTGAATCTCATACCACATTCAACTGTCCATGTGCTGTGTCCTTTGTCAATGTTCTTTCTTCTTTCTGTGGATTGATATGATTAACAATAATAGTCCGCCAGAGTCTGTGATTAGAGCCGCGTCCATAGCTACCATCTGATTGTCATTGTAAAAGTTTATTCTTCTTAACAACGGGGATCTATCGAGGTATAGCAGACTGTTGCTATGCATACTCAACCAATCAGAATCAAGTTTTTAATGAGCAGCCTTTTAGAAGGCAGCAGTATAAAACATTAAAGAAGTTAGCAAGGAGGATTTTAATCATTACACTCTCACTGTGGATACTCAGAAACACTCTCAGAGACTCTCAGTTTCAAGTCTGTGTGATGTTCAGGTCAGCTGACAGAGACTTCAGCGTCCTGGCGTGCAGCTGCTCGGGGTTGCACAGGGACGTATTCAGGGTGTTGTGGGCTCTGTAGTTTCCATGATGAGAGCTGCTGTGGCTCCACTCAGATAAACTTTGGACTGTTGGATCTCTCAGGCTGATGCATCGCTGAGTTTAGACACATCCAGATGTTCCTCTGCAGACACTCCACACTTTAACTTTCTGCAGAAACACAAACACCAATCAGACTTTCCACAACGTAGTTTCGAAGTGATGCTGGCCGTCAGTGTCTCATTAAAACCTGTTTGTTAAGGCAGAAACACACACACACACACACACACACACACACAGTCATCACATTCCATTCAAATTTGATCATAAATACATTAAACCTGATCTGTTAGCTGTTTAACACTTTATTTTTCTCACTGTCCATAAACACATCATAACATTATTCATATGGTGCGTAAAAGACTTGCAGTGTTACACACTCATGTTAACAACATGTGTACACAAACACTGTCTGAGCTGGAACAAATCTGTAGCCCTCGGAGGGCTCTGTGTCATGTGTTCTGTGTTTGTCATCCATGCCTCATGTTCCATGTTCAGTGTACCTGATCTGTAAACTGTGTCCTGTGTTCAGTGTCGACATCCTGTGTTCAGTGTCGACGTCCTGTGTTCAGTGACGATGTTCAGTGACAATGTCCTGTACACTGTTCTGTTTTGTGTTTAGAAAGTGAACATGTTTGAGAGTGTGAACAGCGGAGTTTATCTGATGGTAAACTATTCAGCGATGTTCAATCTGCAGCCCTTGAGGGGGTGGGGTGGGAGTGGGGATTAAAAATGATGTGATTCTGTGTATGGAGAAATAGACACATCAGCTGATGAGAGAACTTTTCACCTCTGAGTCTCTCTGTCCTCGTCCATCTTTAGTTTCATAAGTAACACTCTGATGATTCACAGCTGGATGTTTTTGACGCTTACTCAGAGACAGAGAGGGGCTCTAAGGGGGTTTCTGTGTTTTTAACTCGTAGTCATGACAACAGCCAGATCAGTAAATCACTGCTCTAACTTCATCTCTGAGAGGAAAATTCTCAGACTGCTTTTAAAGGCCAGAGAGAGGGAGACCGAGACAAACTGTAAGCTGGATGTGAGTGTGTCTTCCTGTACTCTGGATGTGTGTCTCCCTGCAGTCTATATGTCAGACTGTCTCTCTGCAGTTTGGATGTGAGAGTGTCTGACGTTCATTCATCTATAACAGTTAACACTCATTATAAATACAGTACAGTCTGTTCATGTAGACACAGGGCTGATCTGTTTTCACTGCATGAAGAAACATCAGCTTGTAACATAATCAGTCGTGTAGAGAAGAGCTCCTGGAAGAGTCATTGTTAGCATGCTGAGCAAAGCAGAGTCCAGCTTCCTGTGTGTATAAGTTGTGTCTTAAGTTTTGGTGTAAAGTCGGCTCTAAATCTTGCGTGCAAACTCTTTAGGTTTCAACTTAAGTTGTTTCATTGTTTGGTTACCACAGAGATGTAAGCCTCATTTTGACTAGTAGAGCGTAACGTCCAAACTAAACAAAATATTGTGTCAGAAATGAGGTTTGAAGTTGATGTGACCAATCCATGAGCAGCATTTTGTTTATGCAGTGTTTGTTCCAGTGTTTCCTGACGTTCATCCACAAATATAAACTGAATATGTTTTTCAAATATGACAAAGCCTTATGATGAAGTGACAACTGTTAAAAAAGTGGTAAAATCTTCAAAACAACGAACGGTCATTGATCAGTCCTCTGTTACTGGGCAGCTGAAATTATCTGGGCTCATGGAAAACTAAAGCAGGAGTGAAAACAAAGTCATCAAACATTTGAGGGATGTAATCTATCACTGAGAACACACTGCACAAGCTAAGCTAAGCTCAGCCGTCATCACCCCTTTGTACATTTATATTGATGTCCCAGTCTGTGAATTCACATTGCGATTCTGTGTAGCGGGAGCTCGACATAGACACACAGTCAGACATTCACTCACACACAGAGCTGCTGATATACACAGCGGTTGAGTCTGGTTCACACGTAGAGTCTGCAGTGTGTATTGATGTTTGACTGAGAAATCGGAACATTTTATGGCTTTTTCCCTTTTTGTTCCTCTCTTCATTTTTCCCTCTCCGCTCTTTCTATTTTTACCTGAACACAGACAGCAGGTAACTTATGAGGGACATAAATTGAAATCATCTGGCAGCTTTCAGTTTTTCTGTCTCTACAAGCTGCAGAACAGATCAGGAACAGACACGTGTGCAGGTTTTCCATCAGACCTTCCTGTTCTCAGTAAATCTCCACAGTCCCCCTCCCCTCTGTCCTTATGTCAGTTTAACATTTTCAGAGAAGACTGAAACAAAAGGAGTTGCTGTGGAGTCTCTCATGAGATCATTGAGGTTCAGGGTTTATGTAACCGTGCTCACTGTGAGCCTGCAGAGTCTACAGTTAGTCAGAGGATCACCTTTTTATGTTCAGTGAGCTTCATGTTTGGTTCAGTTTGTTCTAACATTAAAAACATCAAACTGCTCTCTCTCTGTATGAGGAGAGTCAAATGTTGATGGTTTCTGTGTGAGGAGAGTCAAATGTTGATGGTTTCTCTGTGTGAGCAGAGTCAAATGTTGATGGTTTCTCTGTGTGAGCAGAGTCAAATGTTGATGGTGTCGGTGAGGAGAGTAAAACGTTGATCCAAAGGTGACGTCACTGATCCTCATGTTAGCCTCTCAGCCCGCAGGCTCACAGGGCTGAGCTGTGCTGAAGGAAATGACTGGCTCTGTGGTTTGACCTGCAGCACTTTTTCCTGCACAGCCGCCTCTCCAGATCACAAACTTTAAATTCAGCCTGCAGGTTTTAAAAGTCTCAGAGAGAAACAAGAGCATAAAGGGGAGATCAAAGCAGACAAAATAACATCCTGAAAGTCTCTCTGACTGAGGATGGATTTGACACACAGCTGAAAACAATACATCAAGGTTGTTCAAATTTTCAATACGTATACTTTTCCACACCAGGAAACAGTCTGCAGAGCAGCTCTTACATTTCACAGATGATCTCTGGATCATTTAGAGCAGAGTCACATGATTAATTTGTATTAAAAATAATTGATTGGTTAATGACTGATCCAGACTCACCCTCCTTACAGAATCTTTCTCTGTTATACTTAACTTCTTTCTTTTTTTCAGGAGCTGTCGAGCTGTGGTTGGAACAAGAAGGAGAAGCACATCACTGCTCCAAACGTGGTGGCCTTCACCCGCAGGTTCAACCAGGTGAGACACAGGTGACTCTGAGGTCTCCTCCTCCTCCTCCTCACACACATGAGCTTAATGATCAGGTGCAGCAGGTGTCGGTTTCTAAAGTCGTTCATGTTGTCAATAAGACTGTGATCTCCACATCAGGATCAGGTGCAGCAGGTTTGATGTCAGCTTTTTTGTTCTCAGATGGTCTGTAGTTCTGCATGGTAGTGCAGCACATGGAGGAACTTCTCCAGGTGTTTGTAGGTGTCCTCCGAGCTCGCTCCGTGCCTGTATGTGCTCGCTCTGTTACATCATTAACAGGAAGTTGTGGGCAGTGATGTCACATTTTTTCGCTTAAAATTCCTCCATTGTTTCAGACTCTTTTTAGAGTGTCTCTCTCTCCTGCAGTTTAAAATGAGACGATCACACAGGAATGTGTTTGTGTGGAAACTCGTGTGTGTTTGTGTTTGTGTGTGATAGCCTCACACTCTGCAGCTGCAGGAGGAAGACGAGCTGTTTGGATCTTGATCCTGGACTAGGAGGGCAGAGACTCCCACCAAGCTCTTGAACCTGAACTGAAGCCAGACTCCTCCTCCTCCTCTCTACTTCTCTCCTCCTTTTCCTCTGCCACTCTCTTCCTCCTCCTCTCTGTTCTTCCTCCTCTCTTCTCCCCTTTCTTCTTTAATTCCAATTAATAGGCTTTATTTGCATGAATGCCCCTAACAACACTCACCCACCGCTTGGTTGTGGGAAAAAAACTCTGCAGGTACCAGAACAAGAGGGGAAGAGGGAGATGTCTGCTGTCAAGTCTCTTTGAATGCATTTGTATCAGTGTTTGTTTTTCTGTACTTTAAAAGCTGTTATTTTGTTTTGTGCAGCTGTTTGCTGCCGATGTGATTCTTCTCTCTCTAGGTTTTGATCTCCCCACAGGAGGCTCATGTGTTGTGAAAACAAAGACTTGTTTTCTGTGTTGCACGTAGCCCCTGAACGCTCAGTTAGGAAAAAATTAAAAGGTCTTCTCTATCTCTCTCTCTCAATTTTGATTATCGATTTACTGTATAAAGCTGCCAGTTATCAATGATGTTGCATGAGTAAAAGTAATAATTATACACAGCAACAAATAAACAGAACTCTCTCTCTCTCTCTCTCTGTCTCTTAGGCAATTGTGACAGTTAATGAAACTGTCCTGGACACTCTTAAAATGAAAACAATAGCCATAATAATAAGATCACTGTATGACCATGCATCACTGAAAATTAATCAGAATCTGGATTAATCAGAATGCAGAAAAAGGAATGTATGGTGCTTAAAATGTTCTGGGGCAGACCCCGCCTTACCTGATAGTGCCAATAGCAAAAAGGACCAATTGGAACTTATTAATGGCATAGATGCTCCATTCAGATCACCACCCCTTGTTCGGGCCACAAGTGATCTCATCTGCGGATCACTTATTTACAAATAGGAAGTAAATGTGTGTTTGTGTCGTTTGGGTGTGTAGCCGCTTGGGTATCATTTGGGCATGAATTTTGCACGCCCAGAAATGCCTTGAATACAGTAAATCAAGAGAAAAAATCTGGACCTTATTATTTTCTAACCCCTGGTTACATCCCTGGTCTGAACTGCATGTTGCATAAATGCTCACGTTATTATTTTAAACTGTGCAATTAAATGACCTGATGTCCTCTGTATGTTCACTGTTTGTTACTTGATCTTGTTTTTATTATTCAGGAATCTGTGAGATCATGACGTCTGATTCTTTGTTTGATTAACTTTTAATAGGTTCAGGTTTTATTTTATTTCTCAGTTTAATCAATCTTCTTCTGATTTCATCTCCTGTCCTCCTCCTCAAGACACTTTGGAAATCAAACGCATATGATGCAGTTTAGCCGTGTGTGTGTGTGTGTGTGTGTGTGTTTGTGAGTGTGTGAAGTGATGGATGGATGTGATCCTTCCTCACCTCTACTCTGAAACAAAAACAGGTCTCAAAGTGTCTTCCAGGAAAAAAGGAAGAACACAGAGACACACAGAGGTGGAATGCTAATCCACACACACGCGCACACACATGCGCACACATACGCACACACACACAGTTTAAACAGTAGTGAAGAAGAGTAAAGTGTGTGTCAAAAAGATGGTGTGTCTGTTTGTATATCTAATCTGAACATGATGTGCAGACAACCTCCTCCTCCTCCTCCTCCTCCTCCTCCTCCTCCTCTCCCCTGAGCTCAAGCACTGGCTGATTCACTGACTTTTCTTTCCATTCCAAACATCTGAAATCTTTGTCTGTAACTGGTCATTGATCAGTTCTCTGCGAGCTCTGGTGTTCTCTTATCTGAATATCTGTGTTTTTGTGTTTTTGTGTGTGTGCTTCAGACGAGTTTCTGGGTGGTTCGAGAGATCCTCCACGCCCAGACACTGAAGATCAGAGCAGAGGTTCTGAGTTTGTACATCCGAACTGCAAAGGTAGAAACACCCAAACACACTGAGGCGGTTTATTTTAAAATAATATCATCTCTGTTGTTTTCATGATTGAAAGTAGGGATGTAATGGTACACAGAGGTCACGGTTCAGTTCATACCAAATAAATACAGTGTAGGACGTGTTTCTAAGGAAATACTGAATAAAAGAAGCAAGTGTCTCTTCTAGCTCCACCGTGTCATGTTGCTACCGTTTATTACTGTACTTTGTGTGTTTTATTGTGTCTGCTTATTCTTCCTCGTCTGTTGTTTAATAGAGGTTAGCAAACAGTTGCGAGAACTCGTCGTATACTGCATGCATCACGATCAGGACCAATACAAATAATGTTAGATACCTAATTGATAGTATCAAAGTTTGCCAGCAGTTTTTGTTAATTAAATACAAAAATGACCCAATGTTGGATGGGTTTTGTCACTGTGTTATTAAAGAGGTAACGATTAAAGGTGGGGGGGGGGGAATTGACAAAGCAAAAATTTGTGTGGTGGCAGTACCAATGTGCGGACCAATCAGGAAGTTGGTCTGGTAGCTGGAGAGATGCCAGGGCACTTCCCGAGGACTGCCGGGTGCCTTTGAGCAAGGCACCCCAACTGCTTTGGTGCACTCTCTGCTCAGCAGCTTGTAGCAGCCCCACACTGTAATCAGTGTTGCTCAGTCTGTGGGCTACACTCCCATTGGATATAAATAAAAAGAGGAGGAGGATTTATTGTTATATCGCAAAACAGTTCTTGATTTAGTTTTTCAACATAGTATGCAGTTAAAAAGTTAAATGGCAATATAATGTATCACAATTCTCAGAATATCGCAATAAGTTTAAAATTGCAATAATATCGTATCGTGTGGCCTCTTGTGATTCTCATTTTGCTCTTCTCTCTCTCTCTCTGTGTGTGTGTGTGTGTGTGTGTGTGTGCGTGTGCGTGTGCGTGTGCGTGTGCGTGTGTGTGTGTGTGTGTGTGTGTGTGTGTGTGTGTGTGTGTGTGTGTGTGTGTGTGTGTGTGTGTGTGTGTGTGTGGTGTGTGTGTGTGTGTGTGTGTGTGTGTGTGTGTGTGTGTGTGTGGTGTGTGTGTGTGTGTGTGTGTGCGTGTGTGTGTGTGTGTGTGTGTGTGTGTGTGTGTGTGTGTGTGTGTGTGTGTGTGTGTGTGTGTGTGTAGAAACTGTGTGACTGTAACAACCTGCATGCAGTGATGGCCGTGGTGTCAGCGCTGCAGAGCGCCCCCATATTCAGACTCGCTAAAACCTGGGCGGTGAGTACCTGAACTCTGAGGGTGGGGGAGTCTGCTCCACATTTATAAACCCTGTTCACACATGCAAATGAGTCATGAAAACTTACGGAAATGTGTCAATACAACAACTGAATTTTTAAACACCAATTTACGCAGACTCTCTCCTGCTAGCCCCTAGTAAATTCTCCTAATAAAGTCAGGGTGAGCTGATGTGAGAAGACAGCAGGAAATATTCTGACAAAACTCATGACAAGCAATGCGAGGGTGGGATGACTTTTATAGTCATTGACATAAAGGTAAATGGTTTCATCATAGCGTTAATCTGTTACTTCGTCCACCTCTTTTGACATCATGTCCTGGCTCCTGTGATCCCCCCCTCTCCCCGTCAGACAGGTTCAGTTCCCCACTGTGAGGAACATGTATGAACAACAACCCAGGAGGATTTTAGGGGCAGACTGTCTGTAATTTAATCTAGAAATCCTCAGGAGTTCATGTGTGAAAGGGTCATACGGATATTCTGAGACAAATAACTATATGGACTATATGGATTGTGTGTGTGTTTATTCTCTGGTGCAGCTGCTGAGTCGTAAAGACAAGGCAACCTTCGACCGGCTCGACTACCTGATGTCCAAAGAAGACAACTACAAACGTTTAAGAGACTTCGTCAGCAGCCAGAGCATGGTGTCCTGTATCCCTTATCTAGGTACACACACACACACACACACACACACACACACACACACACACACACACACACACACACACAGAGAGTGTGTTTCAGTCTGTTATCTTTATGAGGAGGACATTGTTCTGTGTGAGATGTCTGGTGTCATGATGTCCACATACTCTACAGTCTGGTTTATTCTGTGTGTGTGCGCGCGTGAGAATGCACTCAGTCTGTTGTGTTGTTGTGTGTCTCTGCAAAGACGTCACACAGAATGGAAAATCTCTGTGATGTTACATCACCATACTGTGTGTGTGTGTTCACTGCTGCTCTGTTTGTTCCTGTTGTGTATTCATGATGTCTGGATCATAATAAGATTCAGACAGACACGCTCAGTTCTGTGAGAACACACACACAGAAAATCAGTGTGTTTGTAATTTTAGATGTTGAATTAAATCTGTGTAGTGAAGAGGACAGACTGTTTATGTTATTCAGGCGTGCGTGCGTGTCCATCATTTGCAGATATTGTTTGCGTTGTACAAAAGTTTAGAATTACTGCTTATGGACTGTTCTGTTTCTCATTCCTCACTGATATTTTAGTTAATCTGTCTGAATTTTTCTTCAGCTGCATCATTAATGTCCTCTCTGTCTGTCTCTGATGACATCCAATCAGCCCTCTGTGTTTCAGATCTCCTTTAAAAGATATTTAAACTTCTCTCTCACTCCATTTGTTCTCCTCTGTGCTCCTGTGGCCTCCAGCTGCAGTTTGAGTCATCAGATAAAAGCAGAATGTTTCATATCAGGTGACCGTTGATGGTTTTTACAGATGAAGCTCATATTTGACTCTGAGATATTTCATAAATCTGTCACACACTCCTTAACCTGTCGTTAATCTGAAGCTGAGTCAAACACAGGTCATGTTTATAGAAGACTTTAATGTGATCAAACAGGACGTCTGTGTGTGTGTGTACATGTCATAAACATAATAAGACTATATGATATGATATATTTAAAGTATAAATACACTGATAAATAAAGAATATCAGAGTAAAACACTGAACATTTAGCCTGAGGAGAATCACACTTCTTAAATTACCTTCACACATAAATCCAAAGATATTTACACACCAGCGCTCATACTTGTGCACGAACCAGACACTCGCTTCACCAGAGACTGAATAGAAGAGGGACATGTTGCCCATTGTCAGAGGAATACTGAGTCTAGGCTTTGGCATTTTGTCTTTTTTGGAACCAGAAGTGACCATAAAAGAAGATGTAGACCACAGTGTGTATAAAACATGGACTCAGTGATGTCGTCATTGGTTTCTGAAGAGACGTTAGGAAGCCCAATGATGGAGGTCAACATGTGAGAAATGCTGACTCTACCTCAACAGTCACAACAACCCCGCCCCAAATTATGCAAGTTTATGCAAAACTCACATCCTAAATGAAATCAAAACAGATTGTTTTTTTTAAATAAAAAATCTCCCAGTAAAAGAATTATTATGATACCAGAATTCAAACTTTAATTTGATTCTGCTAAAAATCGAATGGTATTGATACGACTGAAGATCTGTAATTTTTAAAAAAGTTTTGTTACTGATCATTAAGACATATGAGATTGTATCCTTTTAATACACTTGGTGTCAAAAGTATCTAAAAGGGAAAAAACATGAAATCCCAACCTTGTACAGTCATCATGAAGAGAGAAATCCTCTTTATATTCTGTACCAGGCTGGACACACTTTTATTTCTGCTGTAAATGTAAAAATTTAAACATGGGCTCTATGGGGACCGTCTCACTGAAGGAGAAAGCCTCTAGTATACACTAGAGGAACTGTAGTTTTTAGAAACTCCTGGCTTTATTTTTGGTTGATGAACACATTTGCTGAAACTCTCATGTGGTTGACATGTTATTGTGTCTGCAGACATCTTTTTGCAACCAGTGGAGTCGCCCCATGTTGGACATAAGAAAGACTGCAGGTTTAAGGCAGTTCTGTGTTGATTACACTTTAGAAACAGAGAAGCTACGTCCTCTTCTTCTAAACAGTCTTAAAGTAGAGTTAGTTAAGTCTAAGAGAATTCCAGACAGCACCGACACACCTGTAGACAAAGGTTGCCTGTAATGATGAAACTGGAAACAACTTTAAATCAAGTGATGCTACCACAGTCAGACATCCCAGTTTATCCAACACCCTGTGGTATCAGTTGTCACATTTAGCTGCTCAGAAGAAGTCACTGGTTTTCCCTTTAATAAACTCAGATATAAACATAGGGCAGGGGGTGGGGCTTTATGGTCACAGGAACTTGATGGACCAATACTGACCAAAGTCGATGTTTGAGCCAGTCACAGACTGAGTCATTATAGTTCGGTCATAAACACCGCCATCTCTCCTCCTTCATGTTAGACGCTCTGGTCCTGGCTCCGGAGAGGGGGGAGGGGTTAGATTAAGGAAAGGAGACGAGGAGCGTCCGAAGGATCCTCTGTCTGAGGGCTCAATCGATGGGTCGGATCATTAGCCGGACAGACTTCAGGGAGTAGAAACCTCCTCCGTACTCGGCCCAGAAGATCCCGTCCTGAAACTTACTGCGGTACACCCCCCCGCTGTACCAAACCCCGTTCAGGTTGGTCTGTCCGCAGGCGTTGTACCACCACCCGCCTTTATGGAAGTGAGCGCAGTTACCTGAGGGAGACAGAGACATCAACAAGATGTGAAGCTTTTTGACTTATAACTTATAACTTCAGAGCTCTAAGCCCCTCTCCCTCCCACCTGAGAAGGCGTCCTTGTCGCGGTCCAGCGTGGTGAACTGTTTGCCGTTGTGGCTGCTGAACGAGTCTCCAGCGTTCCCCTGGTAGGTGCCGAGTCTCAGCCGGTATCCGTCACTCTCCGACTCAAGGCGGAAACTGCTGTACTCGGCGTACACCTTCTTCCCCGTCCAGTCCTCCAGCTCCACCATCAGCTTGTAGTCACCCTGTTTTGCCAGGTTGTAGATGTTGACCAGGCCAAGCCAGTGCTCGCCGTTAATGTTTCCGAATCCTCTCTGTAGGGACGACAAACACAGAGTTATTTATATAGAAGTTTGATGTTTTAATTTATCTGCAGCTGGGCTGGTAGTAAAACAACAAGGAGTCGTGTCTGTGGGTTATTTCTTCTTTTTCTGTTCCAAAGAACACGAGTTGAGTAAATGAATCAGATCTTTTCTCAGAGAGGGGATAATGTTTGAAGGTTGAGATCTTGTGTTTATCACTCAGGTTTGTCAGAAGAAACTGCATCAGCCTCATTAATTAATCTGGGTGTCCTTAAACTGAGTGAAACTCAGGATCACATGGAGATATGATGAGATCTATAGTCAAGTTAAGAGTTTCCCTCTTTGGATTTCTCATCTGTATATTTGTATATAGCTCCCTGTGTGTTCCAAGCTGTTGACATCTACAAATGACCCCAACATAACCCAATGAGACAAGACAGAGCTGTGAATACATTTAGGAAACCAATCTTGAAGATATTTGGGTGTTCTGTGGCGCCCTGCTGGCCAATGATTTACACCCTGTAAGCAGTCAGAGAGTCTAAGCTGACCCTTTGCTCCTCGTCTTCCCCTCTGAGGTTTTCTGTTGTGTAGCTCTGCTCTGTTAGGAACGGAAATTGGTTAAGCTGTAAACCTGTATGTAGATGAATGACACTAAAGTTGAGCTTGTTTCAGTGAAGGTTCCTGGTCTCACCTTGTAGTTTTCCCAGTTCCTGAAGAAGTTAACAGATCCGTCTTTCCTCCTCTGTAACACTGTCCATCCTCCGTTGTCAAGGCCGTGTTCACACCAGGCCTGGATCAGCTGATCGCTGCCGTCCGCCTTCAGCAGGTACATCCCACTGGTGGTGTGTCCGGCCTCTCGCACCTGGAAACAGTCTCTGAAGGGGCCTGGGGGGGCGTAGGGGAGGTCATTGTTTTAGTGGCTCATATATAAAATGTTTCATGTCATTAAATACCTGTAGAAACATCTTCATTCTTCAAACACTATTTCATGTGTAGAATTCCTGTTAAACAGCAGACTGTTGTTTGAATCTGTATTAATCTGATTTAAGTACAAACAGGAAGCTAGGGAGGGACATATACTGGATATTGATTGGCATTTACAGCAGCCAAAAGAGCTGACTGTTTGAACATTTAAACTGAAACATATGACAACACAGAACTTTACAATCAGCTCCAAGCTTCTGTTTCAGCTCATCTCAGCCTGTCTCCAAGGAGTGTAGTGGAGCTACAGTTACATCACATTAGTCCATATAATTATTCTACTGGTCCCAGTATACAGTACAAGCACTGATTGGGAATACTTTTATTGACAAAAGTATGTCTGACTCTGCTCGTTACTATTGGACCGTCTTCCCGGTGACCTGTTGCGTCACAAACTAAACAATCGACAAACAAGTTAGCAAGCAGAAAACTGTAAAGACGGTGAAAGCATGGACGACTTTACAGCTCTGTACATTTCATACATACTCTTTGAAATGTCAATCCCTTCATCTTGTTTTCTTCTTTTACACATTTATGATATTCGACTTCAGGTCAAAACCCGGTGCAAGAACCGTGGAGCATGCTAAGACAGCAAGGCCAGTTTTGGTCCAATGTTAACATGTGAGAGCAAATTAACCTCCAAACACATTAACCAGGTGTTTTAGTCCGACTTTGCGAATCTCCACTTCGTCGGATTTCAGTCACACTAACATGTTTACATTGATTTTAAAAGTTCAGTTTCACACTAGATTGTGAGATGACCTGACAGTAAACAGAAAGAACTTCCTGTAGAATGTGAACTTTATCTGCTTTACTCAATATTTCTTATAAATTCACCCTCTGAACAAATCCACTGAACCATGAGCTGAAGAAGTCTTCATGTGTTAAAGAAATCTTCATCACTTGGGGAGGGTGCATTCAGACAGGAAGTGAAACCTGATTATTCAGAGATTCATCCTTCAGACTGACCCCACTCTCCTATATTCCCCAGTGCCCACATGTTGGAACCAGTATGAACAGCAGCACTG